TTTAATTTAAAATCAACTTTAAATATTTAGTAACAAGAATGTTCAATGTATTTATTTATTGGTAGTATTGAACATAGGAAATATGTCATCTACTGTAAGCTTAATAGTTTCGGTCCAGACGTTTAGTTTTCCACGTAAAATATTAACAGATGATATACGATCTGATAGAATGTAAATTCTGAATCTGTTTCAATTAGTTTATTGTCACAGAAAAATTATCCGGCGCAACTAGATTACTAGAGGATAACATCGAACAGATAGAAAATCAGATCAGTTAGCGTTATCCGAATTATCAATATATTTATATAGAATTAATAACATGTATTAAAGTGTATTATTTAAAGTTGGAATGGGTATAGAACTTGGTGATTATCCTAAAATTGAAAACCAACATCTATTAGGCCCTGGCCACTGATCCGAGTTTATGGTTAAACCAAATATTTTTTGGTATATGTGATATCAAGAGACAATTGAAGGTAAATCCAATGTCACGGGTTTATCTTTCCTGACCCCAAAATTTATCGTTAGTAACAAAAGTATATTATCGTCGGACGGTCGAACGGACGAAGCGGGCAAGGTGTTGTTCAACGTCTCCACTGACCTACTGTCACAGCTTTGATAACGATTGATAAAAAAATTAAGTTCTCCACTAGATACGTAATTTAAACTCTTTGTTTCATATATCAAATATGTATTGGGTCACTACATAAAGCATGAGAATTTTACTCAAAACACGTTAGTCCATTGTAGGTACTTTGTTTTCATTATTGCAATTAATCATAAATTGTATAGCCTGTTTCTATAAAGATAATATTGTAATCTTATACGAGAAGTTCACAATAATGTAAAATACTTAATATATTACTTATAATTTAAATGTATTTTTAATTAACAATAAGCATTATTTAATATATGTATGAATATTCAGTAGTCTTAGTAAATATTTCCTTATTAAATTTTTGTTTAAAAGTTTGTAGTGTAACAATTTTGGTATTCCACTTCCCGGTATTGTGTGAGCATGTTAGAAGTCATTGTTCAGTACTTAGGTGTTTAACGTTGTAATGTTATGTGTAATTGTATGCGAGCGTTGTGCAATCGCTTAATTATTTTAAAATAATTATTTCTTTCATTTACACACACATTTCTGTCTCGGATTTTTATACTAAAATTTATTTTTTCGTTACCATGTATTGAAAGAATTTTTGTCAGATATTTGCCGGATGTATTAAAATAACCGTGGATTGTTATGAATAGTAAAATGTCTATTGAAAATAAGAGTATTAAATTTTTAATTAGCTGATACGAAGCGGAGGCAGTTATTCAAGTCGATCAACCGGTAAAAGACACGTCACGTTTAAACGAATACGAATCCATTTGTCACGGCAACCGCTGCGCACGCTCACCCAATGCATCCGATACGCTAACATTTGTTTAAATTATATTTCAAATTACATAGCGAAAAACATATATTATGAAACCTTTACAGAAGTAAAAAAATCAACGACATTATAATTACACTAAGTGCTTATTGTAACTTAATTAATACAAATAGGAACAACCTAGTCCTTAGGTGACAATAATTTTTACACAATATTGTTCAAAGTTAATTGAGTTTGTCGCATGTCGGATCAGATAATTATAATATGAGGACAATTACAGCATATCCGCTATCTTGCGGGAACGCGCTTTGTTTCAGCTCCAACAATGCTGTACCTACAATCTATCTAAATGGCTTCACACGACGCACATTCAATTGTGTTGAATGGAAAATATGATGTATTTGTTGTAAGGGAAACAAGTTTCTAGAGAGGCTCACTTTTACTTACTTTGATGGAACCAATTGAAACACCATCCACGATCTTCTAACGCAACAAACAAACAGTGAGGAATAAATTAGAAAAGTACTTTCGTAATCTAGCAATCGTTTACCTTTATCCAATCGGCAAATCACGTTAAGTCGCCTTTTACAATTGGAAGGTTAAAACACTACAGTGCTTGAATAACCTGACTCACGGTGGTTCCTCAAGCGAGTTATTCTAGAGGCCAGTGAATGGTCGCTACAAGAACTCCTGTTTACCCATTTAATTATCCCGACGGTCCAAATCCCTCTACATTCGAAATTTAATTTTCTTCACAGATTCTCATTAATTTTCTATCAATGCGGACAACACAAATACAAAGTAATTAAAATTTTAATGGAACCACTCGAATGAGCGAGGCAGGTTCATCGTCTAATCGAGTCACTGGTTAGCTTACTCTTATTGTATTTACGAACAACGACCTATCAAACAAGACTAAATTCATGTTAACCACGACTCTGATCACATTGCATAACATCAAGATGTCATACCATATACCAACAGCTTATCACTCCTATAAGTTTTATCGATTACAATAACTCAGTAAATTTCCAATAAAAGAAACTGCAAATAATTGCCAACCACATCCATTTTCTCAAATTACTAACTCTTCATTATTTCTATTTTACAAACGCATACGTATCAAACAAAACAACTTCCATGACGTCGGGACTCACTCGTGAGATAGGTGTAACAGAAAAATATGGTTAATGAAAACAATCATACAATAGAAAACATATCGTAACAACTACTAATTAGAGTGTTATTTTAAATGGATCTATTAATATTAATCTTATTTACAATATCTTTGCGTAGATAACAACAATTAATTGATCAATGCTAATTCGATAACTACATAGGTGTGTTCATATGAAAACGTACATTTTCTAATCCGAAGATACTATTATATACAAGGTTGGTGTAAATAGAGGCCACGTAGGTGTTAAACTAAAGATATAATATTATTAGTTTTATCGACTCTTTACGAGAATATAATGCAAGGAAATTATTATAATCACCATTTAAAATGTTAATGTAACTAAGTCGTAGCGGCACGCTAAGAGTAAAACGACCGAATTAAGTTTCTTTAAGTCTGGCGGGAAGTTTTGATCGAGTTACATGGATGCCGCTGCGTTCAATTTTGTTTTAAAGATTTTTTGCATGACTTCATAGCACTAATACGCATCATTAAATTATATAATTTAAGATCAACGATTACAAACTAAGTACACAGAATAACTTTACTAAGGCAGCTGATAAAAATCAAATTTAAATAAAATTGAAATATGTGAAAACTCGATTTTACAAAATTACAAAACATTTTCTTAAGTTTCATCTTATTGCTATAGATGGCCATATGACTTGCAAATAAAAATATTAATACAATATTTGGCTCTATTGACCTGTTCTGAACACCGATGCTATTATCCAGTGCAAGGTACTGACAGCTACCCCGACAACAAACCTATTGCAATTAATACAGAAACAAACAGTTAATATTATGACAATTGTTATTTGTTACACAGTACGACATGTTACTTTCCAACTAATGTCGAATAAAGAGTATTGGTAGTACGGTATCACTACTAATTTTGGTTGTAATCAAGAAATTAGAATTTGGTCTCAGTAAATTAAAAATATGCCGTTTATAAGCGACCAAGTAATGTGGTATAATGAATGCATGATGCAACAAATAGAGAATTACAAACTATTAGTGAGACATGAGCTGAAATTTTACAAAAGCTTGTGAAATGTAATTCTGTACTATGATAGACAGAAAGGCATACTTTATTATATTAGATTCATTCCCGTACAGGAAACGCGAAAGTTACCAAAGATATATACAAATATTTCTTGAATTCATTTGTAAGGACTTTTAAAAAATATACGTTAAATGATGATTCATATAAAATTTTATTAATCAATTAAGATTTACAAGTGTAAAATTATATAATTTAAAATAATAACCGATCTTAAAAATTGACAAGATTCATCAATGAGAACAAATATACCGTCGGGAAAGTAAATAAAAGGTCTAGCACACCGTGCTTGCAACTCATAGCTAGTATTAAAAGGTTTTTACGTTTACAGCTACAAAATGGTTTTGCATATTAAATTAATACATTACAAGTAAAATTTTATTTCATTATATAGTTGTTGAAACTTCTTGAAGTGAGAAATTAAAATAAATAAAACAGACAAAGTACACAGTATAATACTTTGGTAAGAAAAAAAGTAATATTTGTTGGTTCCAATAGGTGTATTACATTGTTTCGTTACAGCCTGTCTATAAATTTAATTTAAATATTTTAAAAAGACGGCATTTTATTTACATATTTCCAAGAATACAATCTGCTACAAAATGCGTTTCATAAAATAGTCAAAGTAACATCAGTATGAATGAATAAAATTAATTGCCTTGTGTAATCTTCTTAAATTCGAGTAAAGAGTAATAATCGAAACAAAATACAGAAATTTTTCCTTTGTATAATTTTATACACATATTTTTGAGAAGCGACTTTTGTGCCACATTTCATTTACGCTTATTGCTTTTATATATTGGTATAATTAAATTACTTCCAATCAAGTTAGTCTTCGTGGAAGTTTTAATAAAACCTACATACTACATACATATAAAAAAAAATCAATTTTACACAATTTGATGGAAGAGAAAAATAATTGCTTCTGAATTTAATTGCTCTGATTTCATATTTCGTCGAATTGGGTCGGTGAAGTATAAGAATTATTATAAGAACTTTATATCAATTTATGTGTTTAAAGTTATATGTCAATTGAATAAACGATGTATGGAATATGTTTAAAAAATTTGGCACGTCGAATGGTTTAGTGATTAGCATAAGGAAGCGAAAGGCGAACTCAGTGGCCGCCACGGTATGTGACGTCCGCCTTATCTGGTCACTGATGACTTTAAACAATGAATATGGGTTAACTGCTCGGAGATACAGTGTATGAAATAATAAAACATGAATGTGACCGACGCACATTTATCGTATATTTATCTGTCCAAGCACGATGTCACAACATCCTCTTGTTGAAACGGATCCGTAAAAATTATTATGATATGAACTCGCTTGCAATATTTTTGCTACGAAATAAAAATAATTTTATTCAAATACGTACCTGGAGTCGAACTTATGACCGTTCTCGAGCGTGCCGGTGTAGTGCATAGTGAGCATATCGCCTTGTTTAGATTTAACAGTACACCCTTCTGGGACGCTGACTACCTCGACCTTAAGTTCGGTGACCTCTGGTCCGGCGAAGGTGGCTCCGGCGAGAGCCAGTACAGCAAGCACGCAGCGCAACGTCATGACGAACTTACGAAAAGTTACAGGAGGATCGAGAAATGCGCACGTCTACTACGACCGTTGGATATCAACTGATGCCGGAGCGAGTTTCACTAACTTGGAATTTCTATAAACTTTGTTGGTTCGCCGCTGGTGCACGATCGCGTTGATTCTATCTCTCTCTAAAATATCTTTCATCTAGTATCAGACAGGGCCGAATATAGTTTTATGGGTTTATATCCGTAATAGGTGACGCGGCCGCTCTTCACGCTTGCCACGCATACGACCGATGACGTGATCAACTCATTCGCGGCAACCGCGACTTGTTTCGTGTTCCACTTTTCCCAAAACTTATAGTTCACTTCAAGTTTAAAAACAACTTATATGACACGTCCTCAAACAAATGAAATCTTAATTCGATGAAAATACACACAATACTTTGAAGACAGTTATTTGCGGATATAATAAATCCATTATATTATACAATTTTCTTTAATAGTGGTATTAAATTCGCTCACTTAAACATTCACTATTATTACTAATGGGTATTACTGATAAGGAACATTCGTTAAAATTAAAATAGATATGTACCTACATTGTATAACCGATAATAAATACATTACAAGGAAAAATATTTTAGTAGTAGTAGTAGTATATCCTAAAGATATGTGCATCTAGACCACATTTTAAGTATGTATTGCAATATTACTGAACCGCTGAATACAATGCTGACGGCGCGCCGGCGGTCTAATGGGATCCTACGATAAAGTGCTCAAGAATATTACAGAGAAATAATATAGGATACTAAATATCATAATATAATATTCATGTACTCAGAAACAATGACAATACCGAGAACTAATACTACAAAAAAATATATTTAAGTTTTTATAAGAAATCTTTTTATTAAATTATAGACATAATAATTACAAATACTTAAAAAAAAAGTTGCGGGTACATTGAGAAATTCTTAGGACTGTTTTCTTTTGACTGTTTCTTTGTGAAAATTTTTATGTACTTCATATTCGTACATAGGAAGTAGAATTTATGAAAAAATAAATAATTTTAACAACGATTAAGTGTGAAAGTATAGGATGTAAATCAACTCTTATGCACTTATGACAACAACAAATAATATTATGCATGAATAAGAATGGATGTACATGGAATGAAAATGTAAGGTACCAATACTATTGCGTTCGCTTGACTTAATTCCTTTTTATTTTAAATAATTCAAATGTATTGAAAAAGAATATATACTTATTTCGTTTTAATAGTCTTTATTTATTTAACTTAAAAGGTACAAGCTGCTCTAAAACTTCTTATCGGAGACTTTATAGACATTAAAACTTATTTATTAGCTCTTACCAGCAAAACCAGGTACTTGATTAGTTGTTACAACCATAAGTAAAACATTGGTCATGATATTAAAAGCTTTCTATCTACCTTCTTTGATATAAAATCGAAAATTCTTAGGTCAGTCAGATATGTTGTACATGAAATTATTATAAAATCATGAACTAAGTTGTTTTCTTTATAAACCTATATATTAAATATATTTTGGTGAGTCTCGCGTATGCATTTAAATTTTTAATGACATTTTAAACTTTGTTTACAATTACTTTTCAAAAATACAGAAGGAAGACAAGATGAAATTTTCTGTCAGTTGGTCTTGTTATTTGCTATCTATCGATTTATTTATTTTCCCGCCAACAGCACTAGTTTCACACAGGCGACTCCAACTGTCTTGAGTTCTTAAAACATTTTTAATGAAGTCGAAGAAAATCATGGAAGATTATTTTTCATTTTTAACATGATTCCTTTGATGCGAACTTTCTTTTATATAAGATGTTACATAAAAAGCAGTTTACAATTGTTCATTCATAATGTTAAAAGATATAAAGAGGGTGATCATTTTGAAACTGGCCAAAGCGACGCTGATATTAATGCTTCTATTTAATCTACGTTAACAAATAACAGTGAATTCTGGTGCTTATAAATCTAAGTTTTTGTGTAACTATAATTTATTTGTGTCATATATCCTGAAATAATAGGGGGAGTAATCAATAGTTAATCGTTTTATATACTAAGATATTCCCAGTATCGAAAGTAAAAAGGCAAATAATCATAAGTGAAGCCTGTCAGGTTAGGATGATTTTTTTCTTATTTAGAAAAACAAACATAACTCCGAACACCATGAAGTAAAGACTGTCGAGGAACAATCATTATTTATTTAAAAGAAGAATACCGAACGTAACGGGTCATATAGAAATAGTTGTTTTATAAGCAATTAAAATTAATATTATAAAAAAAATATATTTAAAATAAAAAGCATCGATTTTACAAAAACATAAAAAATAATACTTCTTACATAAAATTATTAAGTAAGTTTTACAAGTAAATAAAATATTTCAACAGCTTTATTTTTTGAAAGTTGTTGGCATTGTTTGTCGTATATCTTACCTTGTTTTAAATTTGTAGGAAGAGATTGAATAGCCCTTATTATAAAGGCAAACGGATATATTCGCGTTAGGCTTTCAAGAACTACCTCATGAGTTCAAATTAGAAAGTGTTCGTGAAAGTATGTAGTTTTGTAAGAGAATTAAATTCAAACAATTAAATGGCTACAAGCCGTTACCACTCCAGACAAATTATAAGTTTTGGATGTGAATAAACATTCTAATGTGCGACTTGAATATAAAGTTGACTTTCACTCGAACAGCCGGTTGTAGCAAGGATTTTTAATCGGATTTAGCAAAATATCACTATCACAAGCCGCAAATAAATATCCGCGGAAGGTTATTCTAATTTCAGCCAGACTGCTGGACTTCTGTCTGTGGCTCTTTATTATATTGTCAGTGAGACCCTTAAGAAGTTTTCGACTCCAGACTTGACACGAAGCACGCTTCGGGGAAGTGGAAACCGTAGTTCTATACAACTTAGATTAACCAACTTATATTTCTTATTCGGAATTTACTCTATATCTAAATGTTCAAAACTAAATACATCTTACTATGTATAACTCGTTAAAACGGTTACTTCCAAACTAACAAGGAAGTAACAATTTTGTCTTTGTTTCAATTTTCTGCAAAATCCACCAAGCTAACGATATTAACTGCTGATATTAGACAGCACTTCAGATTTACTAATTTAAGTTTTCATTGTTGATTGACCACTACTCTATAGTTTTAAGTTTTAAATGTATGTTTTATTTTTATATTAAAATTATTTCTAAAAATATGGATCCAGAATGAAAAATATATGTTCTTACAATATTATTAAATAAAGAAATTGTTACTATCTTAAACGCGGTCAATATACAAGTGACACCCGATCAAGCTAAAGCAGTAAAGATTTTGAATTTAAAACTACCTATGTTTCAAGACCTATTTTTAGTCAATAGCTTAGTCATAAGTCGTAACCATCGTTTGGTGTTTACTTTAAAAAATCTGCTCTAATAGTCACCTTATCTAGTAGATAAATTAATTGTTTTAATTGAAACCATATATTAGAGAAATGTAAATAGAATTTCAACAATTTTATGATTTGTTATTTATAATGTTTGATGTAAACATAAAATTCAACAATATTATTTTTAAAATGTTCGTTGGTATGTTACCACATTTTATATATAATATTTGTGGCATATGTAATATGCCACAAATATGTAAAGATTTTTCCAGAATTGAATTTAACATAATAATAATTCATTTTTATTTAGTAACTTTATCTGATTACTTTTTTTGATGATTGCAAAAAAATACCCTAAAAAATATTTTATTATAATAAAGTATTACCCTGAAAGAAAATTAGGTCACATTGAAAAAACTATTACTTAAAAATTTCAGATCTCCAATTATTAATTATAAAATAAATCAAAAGATGCCTCCGGGTTTTCATATTGATTCCTTGTTTCCAATTTTAATTAAAATTAAAATAGAACTTGAATTAAAATTCAAAGCTTATTTATTCTTTAAAAAACTATATTGCTATCGTGAAAAACTCCTTTCTATTATAAACGTTTTAAATTCTGCTTGTTTTCGAAATGAAATGTATTCTTCAAATAAAAAAGTGTAATTTGATTTCCGGAAATCGCAATGCTTGTTTAAAATAATTTCAGATTGCAGTCATTTCACAGAAAAATTCTGGAAAACTGTGCAAATCATAGGATTAAATGTCTTTTGAATATTTGCTTTGTAAAAGGAAGAATAAATTGACAATAAAATATAATATTATGAATTTTTATTTAAATCAACGGAAATAAGTATGTCAGCATTAAGTACATTCATGGTAGTTTTTATTATTCGTACGACACCTTTACCTGAAAGAAGAATATCACTCCCCTCTTCTGTAAACAATCTTTTCACTAATGACGAAGTCAATAAAATGAGTAGCCTAAAACTTTTATTTATTTTTATTATTATTTATACTACATATATACTTTTATATATATTATAAAATAATTAGGTGTAAAACTTATTGTTAAAATTACAATCAATATCAGTTATTAATCGAAAACTCTTGATTATAAAAAGATTTATAGAGATAAAATCAAAATCGGACTGATTTTACAATTATTAAAATGTTATCTACAAGCAAAATATTTTTCTTTTTCTAACACATCAAACGTAAATATGATCAATTGCTAATGAAAAGTTTCAGGCTCTTATATTTCACATCAGTACATACATACGTATCTGAATAAATTGTTCTTTCAAAATTTACCTAGCAAGAGCTGATATTTTAAGTATTGTGTAATTTATAATTAAAAAATATATCTTTATACACCACAGTAAAATATATAAAATTTTGTTTTATTTTATGATGAAGCACATAAACTGTAGATTATGAAGAGAAACTTTTCAGAAACACGACAAACAGCTTTTATTGTCATTAATGAACGGGAAAACTCTACAATTCCCTGGTTAGTTTTTCCTTTAAGTTAATTTTAAAGTAAAAACTTTTATATAACAGTACATCTTGTTCGGAAGAATTTTTTGAAGTTTCGTAATTAATTTATTTGT